ATTTCATTAAGAATGTGCCATATGGGAATCCAAGAGGAAAAGAGGTTGGATGTGTGCGAACTCGGAGGTTGCCAGATATCAAAGAAATTTCCTACCAAATTTAATATCACAGAACGACGCATAATGCTTTTATGCATTTTGCTATAAAAGATCATTAACATAAGGAGGAAATGCTCCAAAAAAACTACCAGAAACCGAAAAATCCGATCATAAATCAGTGGAAGTCAGGTGCGAACAAATGTGAGGAATTGCATTTTTTCAGAACGAAGGAACAAATTCCGCAATAGAAATTGTGTTTCATCAAGTTATTAAGTTCTTTTGGCACGAAACGCAGCAAGAAAGTCGTTTTACCTTATTTCGTTTTAGCAGCGTTCACTTTTCTCAGCATTTTTTAAATTTTTGGTGTAGTCCGTAGGAAAGAATATCTTGAAACCCTCTCCTTTGGTAAATGCATTCAAGAAATATCTTATTTTGAAGGTTTGCATAAAAGCCTATAAAAATCTGAAGTTGCGGATAAAGACCTTTAAAACACGGAAAATCGTGAAACATGCGTCTGAATTTCAAGGAACTTCTGAAAGTCATTGTGCTCCAATATTAGTAAGGGATTTCCTGTGAGGGCGTCTGAAAAAAGTCTTCCCGCCGAATTTTCTTATGGAATCTGTAGCTCAAGTTTGGGACAAACCAAGAGCGCTTTCGGTCACGGAAAAACTGCGAAATAGGAAAGAAATTAAAGACTTTTGTAAATGTTTTACTTTACTGAAAATATAAATGAAAAGGATGACAAAGGACAAGGAAGACTGAAAAGAAAGTCTGCAGACAAATAAAATTATTAGAGCTAGTCTTATGGGTTAATAAATGAAGCCTATAAACCAATAAAACTGTTAAAGCAACTCCTTTCACCACTTAGCGGACTTACGGGAAGGCCCAATCCATTATTAAAAATATTCATATAGAAATATGACGAGAGGAAGGTTCTCGTAGTTTACTCAAAGAAGTATGTTTACCATTTCCCTCGGCAACTTTATTTGCAATTATTGGTAACAGTTACGGCGATTTTTTCATGTTTTAGAAATTTTCTGCGCTTTTTGAAAACGTTGGTTGTTTTAGACAAACTAATGAGGCTTTTACACTTCCTTTAAGTCAAAAATTTTCTTTACTTTGATCATCATTATTTCAAAGTTTTTTATATGCATTAATGCCATTTTGGTAGTGGCTGTTAATCTTGCGCAAGTTTCGACATTTTGCATGAATGTGTAAGCCTGACTGCTATTGTCTCTGGCTTTGCCCTGTAGCAAACCAATCGGTAGGATTATATCGTGGGGTCGTCTGGTGAAAGTATGAAGCGCGCCCCGCGTGCTAACGTTCACCTGTTTTTCGGGGAGAGGACGGCCAGGGCATGTCAGGGAACAAATTAGATCCCAATATTTTTTGTTAAATAAAAAAGTGTAACGAAGAAATTAGAACCCAATTTGAATGCCCAATAAAAAAGTTACGAGGGCAGGCCAAACCTTGGGAGAAGACACTGAATGAGCTTTAATATCATCGCTAACCCCCCGCCCGACCAACAGTGAAAGCGTATATAGAAGTGGAGTTTGCCCAAACCTTGGGCGAGGTAACTGAGAGACATTGTCCAGTGAAATCACCAACACCAGCTAGGAAAAAGGTTAAAGAAGAACAAAAGT